AATGACAATATTTTTTTATTACCCAACCCTTGAGTTGTTTTGTTTTTCATTTACCCAACCTTTTACTTACTCAAAATTTAGTTTACCCAACCCTTTTCTCTTCGGTGCCACCCCCCACCATAAATAATGACCGGTCCCTTATGTACAAGCATTTTTGGACAGAATTAGTATTTAATTTGGCAGGCTTGGCCTTCACGACGAATCGAATGTTCGCAAAATTAAAGTGATATACTTCCATGCACGCGAAGAACAGTTTTATCATGTTTTATCATGTTTTATCATGAATCAGGTGAAATTCTAAAACCAAATGATATCACGATTAATGCTGACAATGAAGATTGAAGTAGATTTTGCAAGAATAACAGTGGAGGAGAAACGACAAATACATGCAAGATGGTTATACCCTGCACTATACTCTATAGAATAAATAAACCAAGTGACAAGTCTATAGTTTACAACTTTACGTAACGTCCTAGTAACGTCCCGGCTGTAGTTACAATGGACCACTAGTCCCCATGTGCATGGGAACTTCCAGTCTGCAACAAAGAAAGCTATATCCAGTATAAATCTGATTTGCTTTCAATTTCGTTGAGTTTTATAGTAGTTTATGTGTTGCCGTGGTTGCGCACAAAGCTCAGAAATAGTGTTTATAGAAAATGGCAACCAGTTTTTGTAAGACTAAACATTGTCGATTTTGATATATGGAGAAATGGCTATCTTCAACATTTTTTTCCGTACCTCAAACCGAAAACATTGTTTGCAACATCTAAAAGCATTAAAATGATCAGATACATGCATATAATATACATAATATAAAAGAAACATTTCTGCGAAACATGGCTCGCTGCAGTACATGTGTGACTCGCATGTTTTGCCAGTCTTCAAATGGAGCTCATATCAATTATATAGTCTATGCTCAACGATTTTACGTCACTGAAGGTTAACTACTTCACCGTAAACCCCCACGAAAATTGAGATACAGGGCCTATATCCAAACAGAACCGCCCTTTCAAATGCGCCAAAACGGCCTAACCGCCAAACTATAAAAGACCTAGCTGTTATTTACTTCCGCGCTTTAGCTCTCAGGTACTTTACAGCTTTGTGACTGCAAAAGAAGGCTGTAACACGAAATTTCACATTTTTCACCCTTCACAAATTGTCATTTGCTCTTTAAATTTCCTTGAACACTGTCATTTTAAGAAAATATTTCTTATTTTTAATAAAATATTGTAATTACTATTGGGCTTTTCAGACCTAATTTACAGTAAAAGTAATTATATACATTATTTTACAAATAGTATATTTAAAAGATATATAAAAACTGGCTATATTTATATGAGCTTATACAAAGCTAAATGTTAACATGCTTTATAATTGGATTTCCAGTTCGCCATAAGGAGGTTTAATGCTTTATTAAAATGCTTCACAAAGTTTATATATACGCCTGGGAAGAGAATTCCAAATGTGAATTGATCTGTAATGGAAAGTCTGTTGAGTTAAAGAGATTCTGCACTTCACGGGATTTCACCTCAGATCTTATAATAGCTTAAACGTTGATGACAGATATTCAGGCGCTAAACCATTCATGCATTTAAACATTAAGACAGCGTCTCCTATAAGATATAAAAATTCAGATATCGGCAAAATGTTTAGCTCTTTCAACGTGGGCGTTATATATGTTGATACTTTACCTTGCTGGAAAGTATGCGAGATGGCAAAATGTTGAACAAATTGCAGTTTCACAATGTTGTTCTTATACTTGTACCTGACTATATACAGATGTATGAGCAGTAACCTGGCAGTACTCTATAGAACATGAACTTGTGGTAAGAGATCGACAACTGGATGCATGCATGCATGTAGCTCAGTTGGTTAGAGCGCTGCTGCGGAATCACTGGGCTGCAGGTTCAATTCCTGCCATGCAGAGGACGCATAGTTGCATTTTTCGCAACTGTTCCTGGTGCATGAGGTGTATAAAATGTATATAAAATTTACGCTCGATAATTTCCATCTACAAACGCTTCAACTATTATTCAATTTAATGTCAGTCAATATCAAGGGCAAATTGTAATATAGGTCAATTGAGAAGTAAATCGTCTGATATTGTGGGGGAGTGCAGACATCCTGTCTGTATATATAGGAATTTAATTTTTTGCCGCCCTTTTTCTGAACAAAGAAAATTAAAAAAATACTTGAGCCTTTTATATTCAATATTATAGCCTTTTATTGTGTAAGTACAGGAGTCAGGAAACTTTAGCTTATACTCTTCTCCCTAAAAGTCCAGTAAGGACCATCCTTACTGGATTCATTGCTCGTCCAGTGACCAGTGTTGCATATAGACATAGTGTGGGAGGAAACCTTAAACCATCTTTCATACAGAGATAAACTAAGAGCGCCTTAATTTTTTTCTGCATAACTTTCTGCATGCAAGATGGTCAAAGGAATCAACAATATAGATTATAGTTTGAATTCTTTCAATAAATTTTGAACCCTTGAAAAAATTATATTTTCTCTTTTAATGCCATGCGACCATAATTATAGATCTATTTCATTTACATATAGTCAAATGCGGAAACTAAAATCGAGACTAAAATATCTCGAAAACGACAAGAAATTAGCTAGAAAAGTTGCACAGCAACTTATTTTACGGTTTCATGCATGTTATTTCGGTCTAAAATGCAAATTAATTTGAGACTTATAAATTTTGATGCCGTTAATCATTACAACTCTCCTGTTTTCTTGGCCATGCCTATTCCTATATATGGGTAAATATCACAAAGGACAGGAATTCGTAGACATTCAGGCAATTAGTCAATGCTGAAGCTAAAAATGTTTTTTAAAGTACCGATCTTTCGAATATTTCTATTTGCCGTAATTTGGAGATAAAAGTCGCTATCACGCATTTTGTGTTTTTTTAATTTTATTTTCCTTTATTAACATAATTGGTTATCTTCATACCATATTTGTAATTATTAACACTATAGGATTCTTTACTTTGTTGGTTTGCATGGTAAAAATAAATTTAATATGTTCGGTATTCCTTTGCCTCGGCTTTGCGGGCGAAGCTTTCGATCCAGATCCGGCCTTCATCGGTGCATTCAAATTGTTCAATACTGCATGACAATTACACTGATGAAGATCCATGCAGATTGCAGGCTTATATAGTTATATACGGATCGAAAGCTAGCAATACAAAATAAACGTGATGTTTCCACAAATACCAAACAATTATATTCTGTTTCGGCATGCAATCAAACAAGGAACTCGTACATGCAAGAAGGATTTATTGCGACAGAATTAAGTTAATATAATTTGGCTTGGCCTTGGCTTTGAGGCCTACTCTGGGGCGGTAAATCGCCTTAAATCGCTGCGATATAATGCGATATAATGCGATTTTGGGCGATTTTAGGCGATTTAAGCAAAAACTGGGACTTTCAAGCACTGCGATTTAGTGCGATTTTAGGCGATTTAAGAAAAAAATTTTAATTTTAGGGATTGCAATTTAGGTGTTTTCAAAGGAATTGAAT